TTCTAAAAGCTTAACGAGCAGCATGACCTTAAGAACAGGGCATGATATTTTAAGATATATATATATATATATATATATATATATATATATATATATATATATATGTAACTTGAGTCCTTCCCAAGCCATAGGGAGGATGTGTATTTTAAGTCCCTTCCAGTTATGTGATGTTAACACAAGTGGAATCCCCAGAGGCCAACAGGAAACCCTCAGCCCTCTGCCTCCTTCTCTACACCTGCTCCTGAGCCTTAGCCTGTGCTCCTTGGATCCCCATCGCCCCCTACTGGTGGTTTCCACTGACCTTAATATAATGGTGTGGTAAGAAAATGACCTGAGGGAACATTGCACACCACAGAAGAAACAGCACAGTGACCATGGTAGAATTTCTTGTACAGCAGTTTTGTGTGTCTTTTTCGTTTAATGCGTCTATAGGAATATGTTTATTTCTGTCCTGCTTTATTCTGTTTCTCCATCTAATATATATAGAGTAGAAATACATGCTCTTCTTCACACTAGGCACCCCACTCCTGAGTGTGCCTTAATGTTTATTCTTTTAATCTCAATTTACTTGAGTCAGAATTACTCTGAGCCCAATTATTTTACCAACCCTTCTGGATTTTTCCCCCTTCTGATATATCTGAGACTTTGCCACCTTTACATATAGAAAACTATAATATTCGCAATGCTAAGATGTGGGTTTAGCCATGTACATAAATCTCTTCTGAGACTCCCAAGAAGATTTTGATGTGGAGAAGAAAAGAAACCTTTCTGCAGTTGTTATAACTCAGAGCATTTTGATAAAAGTGGCTCTGAGAACTTGGGCCTACCAGAAGGTACACACAACCTATGCTGGAATGTCACATGGGCCATGATGGGACAAGGCCAGCTGAACCAGGCAATGAGAATCCTACTGAAAGCTGCAGAGTTGTATTGGCAGTCATTTTCGGGAGACCCTGATAGGATGGAAGAAGACCATGGGCAGCAATGGCCATCATTCATGGTCAGATGCCCTATATTCTGTACCTTCAGGGTCATACAGCGGGCACTTTGCATCATTCCAATCAGAAAATAATACTCAAGCCAATAGATGGGAGAAAGTTGGATATACTTGCAACTAACATGATTACCATCAGTAAGTACCACTCTGTCTTTGATTACAATAAGAAGGGGAAATTAACAACTCCAGAAAAAGTTTAATTTCCTGAGCCAGAACTTCACATTTTAGAAGTTTAAGAATCTTTAATTGCTATGCACACACAGTTGGAAGAGCAATGCCACAAAATGTGTGCTACTCTATGCTTGCAACATCCTGAACACTCCTGCCTGGGGGCATGCAAGATACACAGATCTTCAAAACAAAAAACAGACACAAAACAATACAAAACAAACAAAAAAACAAGCAAATAACACAGCAAAAACAGCATCAGCTCATATAAAAGCAATAGTATTGCTTCAAGAATTTTCAGCTTCAAGAAAATTTAGCTGAATTTAAGGTAAACATGGAAAAATGGCAATTTTTTTCAAGGCTATACTTCCAAATTTTGCATGATACTCATGAATTCCATCCTGGTCATTATAGACACTTTGTTCTTGAGACAACTGGGCAATGAGAGGGTGACTGAAAATAATTAACTTCTGTTCACAGAACAAGTCAACCTATTCAAATGATGATGAGGATGGAGAGGAGGAGTAGGAAGAGAATGACGAGGAGGAAGAACAGAAGTTTGATTTTGTTTTTGAGAAAGGGTATCACTGTGCAGTTCAGGCTGTTCTTATTTCACTATGGAACCCATTGACTACAGCCCAGCAATCAGCACAGAGTGACAAACATTGCCATATTTTTTCTAGACAAAATACATTACCAAGTACACTGCCCAAGGTTCTGTGCATTGTGGTGATTTTTCTTCGCTACTGAACATCAGATACCTCCTGAAATGGGCTGCTATTCTGCAGGGGTATATTTCAGTGTGTGGTGCCTTCAAAAAGCCCAGAATTCTCGGCAAATTAGGTCACAGTGCTCCCTTCTTCTGAAGCTGGTCATAAGCTACATGCCAGGAGGCCATACATGAGTGCTGCTAAACTAATGAGTACAAAATAAGGGAAGGAGCCCCTGGGCATTGGGGCAGTTTCTTCATGTGCCTGTCTTACGCCCAGTGATGCTGCCCTGCCTTGATAATGTGTGCAACTCCTCCATTTCAGGACTAGCTGTAACTGTGAATTTCCAATTGTTAGTAGACCAGTGACATCCAAGTCATGATGGGCAGCTTGGATCACAAGGTTACCTGGTATCACTTGTTCAACTTTTGGTTCCATTGAGGCCAGTTAGCATGGGAAGAGCAGTCTCTCAAATGTAGAGTAGCTATCTTCAGGGGATGACTGAAACTTCCTGCAAAATTGTAAATGTCTCTGCTGTTAAATACCTGTAGTGTTCGGTCTGAGAACCTAAACAAAATCCCTGTCTTTCACTGACACCTGAAATTTCCATTTGCTCTATTGGATAATATGGGCCTGTGACAGGAGAGTCTCCCCAGAAGCATGGGCCTCTTGCAGAGCTTGCAGAACTGGAGGGAAACTGGATTTTTAGTGATTCTCCTACAGAAGCTTGTCCTGGTCGTTTTCCTTATAGAAACCAACCTGTTATCCTTGTCAGAAGAGATCGAGTCCTGTCAGTTATGGAGGATGGCTGTTGCTCTTCTTAGCAGAGCAAAGAAGAGCGTAGCTCTCAAACACTTAGACTGAGCACCACTTACAGGATCCAGGCAGATGCCTCAGCATGCAGCTTCAGATCCTTTATCCTACTGGCACAGACTTTCTAGATTCCACCAATGACCTTTGGGCCTTTCCAGTGCAGAACCTTGACCAAGTCTTGCAAGAGACATTGTCGTTCACTCTAGGCCTCCAGTTGGAATTATGGAACACGTTGCCATGAATTCCAGGTCCTTAGCTGCATTATTTGTGTCTCTGATGTGTATACAGTTCTCCTGCTCTCTTCTGAATTTTACTTATCAGCTGTATAATATAAAACAATCCTATACATTATGTGTTCCGTATTAAATTTATTTTCTTGTAAATTCTAACTACACCGTCACTGTGATTTTAATGCTTAGCCTTAAAGGATGCCTGAAGAAAAAGTGAGGGTGCTAAAAGGGAAAGAATTCAATTCTACATATTGGGATGGAGATATTTGTGAGTACCCTGATGAGGGGAAGCATAATTAATTCCTGAACTCTAGTGAGATTTTCTTGCCAGGTGAAGAAATTTCCCTCCTCACAGGGCTCAATGTATTCACACACACAGGCACATACACACACACACACACACACACACACACACACACACACACACACACTGTAAATGTTGGCCTCCCATCACTTACCTGAGGAAACTCAGTCTGTGTTACCAAGCACGATAATGCTGACACTATTCAAGTCCCACACTCAACTTCCACCCAGACCTTTAGCCCTGTAATCATAGTCAAATTGCAGATGGCTTGTAATGGGCAGTGGTGCAGTGTGATCCAGGAGGAGCTGTACTATTCTCCCAAAGATTATGTTATTTTCCTATTTCCTATCAGCAGAAACCTGATAAGCAAGTTTGGGAATGGGTTTTATGGATGCAGGACAATGGTGTCAAAACATAGCCTGAATCAAGGCGAGTGTATGGATGTGTACCCCTTGTAAATAGATTAAGAGGTGTGCAAGTTGGCTTGCCCCTGTAAGAACCATAGTGAGGAGAACAAAGGTGAGAGGATTGCTGTGAGCTTAAGGCCATCCTGGGCTACCAAGTGTGGTCAAGAACAGCCTGAATTCCTGTATCCAAATATGAGAGAGAGGGAGAGAGAGAGAGAGAGAGAGAGAGAGAGAGAGAGAGAGAGAGAGAGAGAGAGAGAGAGAGAGAGAGAGCCCTGAAGGAAGCTTCATGTCTGGGCTCACACTGAGTTCCCCACACCATGTCTTGGTAACATATGGCTGTGTCCCCGGATCTGTGGCTGCTCATCTTGAGATGCAATAGGCTCTTAGCACTGCACTGGAGATGGTGAATCAGCCCTTTAAAGGGTCAGCATAGTGTGTGTCACCATCACAATAAGTGCTGTTAGACCTTTCTCTGAAGCTGTAGGCCCTGATCATTCAGCAATCATGAAAGGTGAGTCCAGGGGCTGCATGGAAGTGTCTCAAGGATGCTCTGGACTGTACCAGCTGCACCTCACTCTGGACACCTGCAAACACAGGAATATTTTGGTTTCTATGCTGCTTGTTTCATTGAATAAATTTGCAACATTGAAACATTTGAGGTGATAAAAATGATGCAAATCCATGATTCAGTGTCATCTCAAGTTTGCAATTTATTAGTTTGAAAATGATCTTTTATGGCAAAGAAAGTAAATATTAATGTGTGACATTTATCAGTAACGTGTGCTTAGAACATACTTTAGAAAAACTAGCTGATAGAAAGTTCAACCAACTGAAAACTGATAATTATTGAAATCTCTGAATGCCATGGTAGTTAGTATCATGGTTTTACTGAATTAAATTCTTATTAAGAGTGTAGCTCAAGCCCATTTTAATGTGATTTTTATTGTAAGTAGGCAGAAATGTGACTTGTGTATCATGTATCTGACGGATACTCTTTATTTGTCCAACATATTATCTGTGAGAGAAATGTAAGACTATGTATTTATAGGCATTCTTGAAAATTTATACTGTATTTTACTACTTTGTTTTATGCGACATTATAAAACATTTTAAAATATTTTCTTCTCTTTGAACAAGAGCTATAGAATGCAAAATACACACTTTCAATGATGGACAACAGCAAATTGTAAAACACTATTTTGTTATACTGGATTGATTTTAGTCAGATATTCTGGGTTTTAATTGTTTTTTTTTTGTAGTATGGGATTTAAAATGTGTTTCTTTGCTGCTTCTATTAGCCTGTGGAATCATTTTTGAAAATGTCACAACGTTAATCTAAAATAATAAAATGATAAAAATCATGTCCTCTTATGGTAGACTCCGTGCTGTGGACCTGGAGCGACCCCTGCTGGTATTTAGCGTCCCTACACGGAGGTTTATGATTGACTCCCACTGAGGTTTTCTTCACTGTGTCTCTTGCACAGTAATACATGGCGGTGTCCTCGGGTCTCAGGCTGCTCATCTGCAGATACAGCGTGTTCTTGCCGTTGTCCCGGGAGATGGTGAATCGGCCCTTCACGGAGTCTGCGTAGTATGTGCTACTACCATCACTATTGATAGCAGAGATCCATTCCAGCCCCTTCCCTGGAGCCTGGCGGATCCAGTTCATCCAGTAGCTACTGAAAGTGAATCCTGAAGCCACGCAGGAGAGTCTCAGGGACTCCCCAGGCTTCACCAAACCTCCACCAGACTCCACGAGCTGCACCTCAGCCTGGACACCTGCAAACAAAGGGATATCCTGTTCAGGATACTGTCATTGAGGTCCACTGTGAAACCCACACATTGACGTCTTTAGCACATTTTGTTCTAAATAATTTACCTTTGAAAACTGCAAACAAGAAAGCCCAGATCTGGAACAGCTGCATGGTGAGCCGTCTGTGCTCAGTCCTGATCTCTGAGTGGGAACAGCTGTGCACCAAGCCTGGGCTCCTCTGCAGAGCTGCAGGGTGAGGGCTGGTCTGGTTTTCATCAGCACAGGGAGCTGCTATTTGCATTTCCTACTGCTATATACATAGCTCTGAGGGTGAAAATTCACACAAAGCTCTGCTCACCTGGCATATGCAATGAATGTGATAGGGAGTTTGGCAACAATGATTTCATTCAAGACAATATTAGAACTCACTGTGAGATAATGTCTTGGTATCTCTATCTCTTCATGTCCTTTTATGTCTCCTGTTCATATGAAATGCATTTCTACTCAACTTATCTGCTTTATGAAAGTTTCAGAATGAGTTACCTTTCCTATAGGAAAGCTTTTGTGCGGTAAGTATTCTTCCAAATAGCTGAGCCTACACTCCCCAATGTGTGAACAAATTGCTTCTTGTTCCAAGTCCTGAACAGTGCTCACATACCTGGTCATAAGTCTATCCCCCGCTTTTTATGCTGGGATAATATGTGTGGCATTGTGCATTCTGCTGTTTGCTGAAAATTTTTAATTAAAAAATTAAAAGAAAGAATGAGATTAAGATAAAAGAGGACCTAAAAAAATATAACACAGGTCAGAACAGAATAATTTATGCAACCTAGTGTTTCCCCACAAAATAACCAGACATAACAGTAGCTACCATAGTGTCTTTTTCTTGAAATATTTGAGTATAACTTCGTATATCGCTTGCTGAATTAAAAAAAAAAAAAACAGCATTTACATGGATACCTCATAATGAATCTCTTAATTTCAACTGTCATTATCTCTCTCACTATTTGTCTATATTTAAACATTGGTCATTTGTGACAAATATAACACATCAACTGCAGAAAATAAAATGTGCACGTGAAATACACTAACACACATGGACACTTGCGCAACATCAGACAGAGTCTCAGTATGGTGCACACATGTTATCCTCAATGTGTCTTGAAACTCCTCTGCAATCCCTCCCTCCTGCCCCCTCCCGCCTGAATCCATTCCCAGGAAGCTCACAAGGACACCTGTGTTGCTTTTCAATTTCAACATTCATACAAAGAGTGCAACCCTATAATTGTGGTGATGTTTGAAACAAAATATTTATTTGCAAGGCCTTCAAAATATCACGTGTCAGCATTCATGGACACATATGTGGATTAATTTTCTAAACTATGAAAAGGGATCTGGGAATATAGCTCAGTGCTAGCCTTCTTGCCTGTTGACTCTGAGGCCTTTTCTTCCCCAGTAATGCAAAAACAACATAAAATAAACAGTCAAACAGAAATGAGATATAAAATATTTGATTTTAGCTCTTCAGTGTATTTGAAAATGGTTATTTAGATATTCTAGGCTTCTGGTAATTACAAATAAAGCTGCTCATCATCTTGCAAATGTAGACACATAAAAAGTTGGCCTTTCTTTACAAGCAGCAGTATAACCATAACCAAAACCCACTGTATTAACAGTAAATTAAAGAATTTTCTGAAGAACATCAAAGAATTAAGTTAAAAGGCAATAAAAATACGCAATCTGGGAATATGAGGCTGACATAAAAAAAAAAAAAAAAAAAAAAAAAAAAAAAAAAAAAAAAAAACAGGTCATAGACTCACTACCTGGACTGAGGTCACCACATGTCCACATGTCATGGGATAAGAAGATGAGCAGTTGGAAGCAACTGATGAATTACTACACACTGTCCATGCTGCAGCATCACAGTGTGAGGATAACAGATGTACATAATAGGAGGGGAGTGTGTCTACTTTGTGGCTGTAAAAATGCACTACAAAGAGAAACTTATGTGAAAAATGGGTTTTTCCTTGTACTTCTGGATACTACAATTTTAAGAACAGGCAATGACAGAACAGAATTTGTGTTTAGCAGGAGGTAGCTGTGTCCATTGCTCCAAATATCCTTTCCATACACGACGTATGCTAGAAGAGCTGGTCAGGAATCTGTCTGTGTTACCAGAGGAAGGAAGGCTTTAAACATGTGGATATGAAAACTAGAACACATGTCTCAGGGATGATATGGCTGTGCAGAACATGTAGCACACGAGCATATAGGCTGTGTGCACAACACATAAATCAATTCAATTCTAGGTGCAAATGTACACATCTGTGTTGGGGACTGGCTCAAATTAGCTGTCATTCTCCATTCTGTGTTTGTTCGTATCATCATTTACATAATCCAGAGTTTTGAGCCCCTTAGATAAATGCTCTTATCTCATTCAATTGGGAAAAAAAAAACTGTCTCAGACACAAAAGTTGTCATAAATTTTGTAGACTATTAGACACTCATCTAATTGTATTTCTTGGGGCATGGGAAATGTACTCATAATAATATGTATTCATGAATTTATGCTAACATACATTTATTTTAATCTCAAAGTTCCTTACAATTTTTTCCCAATTTCTCAGTAAATTTTTACACTTGTCAAGTGTAATTACAGGTCTTGATGAGATACAGCTTAGCTTTTCTATAGTATGTTTTTTTCTGAAGGAAAGTGCATTACAGTGAGGGTACCTCTAGCTGTCAGCTTGCCAATGATAAGTAACAATTTTGCCTATGAAACTCACAAGTGAGCACCAAACCTGGCAAACAAAGACTCTCAGCTTAATGTTGTGGGTAGTACTGATCTTCCAAGGACTTTCACTCAGAGAGGGAAGTCCAATTCTCCTTGTCCACTTGTAACTTGAAAGGTTTTCCAGTATGAAGCAGCAAGGGCTCTCATGATTCCTTGCTACTGTATTCCATAGCAAATGCTTCACATGTTACCTAATCTCAATATGGAAAGATGTAGTGAATGTCATTCATTATCTCCTTAAATTACTCTGTGTAAACTGACATCCTTATCAATTTGTCTATAAATCAGGATTCCTGAAAGAGTCATGATGGGGAGCAGAGGCCAGTTGCATCTCTCCTCACTGGTATACTCTAAGCATAGGGACTCTGACCTGCAGTGTGAAGAGCCGTTAATGCTAGACCTAAGGGTCCCTCTGGAGGTGCCCTCTTTAGCTGAAAGGTAAAAGCCTCTTAATAATGAGTGAAAATTGTGTATTTTTGAAACAAAAAAGGCTTGAGAACTGTCACATGTGATCCCACTACACACTTGCTCCACTGTACTAAGGAGCCGCATCTCCATTTGGACAAGTTCCTGCCTTTCAGCACAGTGCCCTCTCAATTCCTGGACTGCAATGAATCCATACTCCAGGAATTCTTTATATCCACAGCTTTTCAGGAACAGAAACTTGAATCTAATGTATTACATCCTGGCATCATTCTTAATTTTCATTTTAAGTTTTATTTGTGACAGTCCATATTTACAGTATACACTAAATGTATGCATCATGGGCAGTCAGGACATGTCCATAAAACCCCTAGGGTTTTGTCCCATTTTCCTGCCCTCCTCAAAAGAGTAATAATAAGATGGCCTGAATGGAGGTAAGAGTTGAGTCAACATTAGGAAGGACAGACAAAGAGATTATCGGGTTACACATAGACCTCCTGAGGAGGATGACGACAAATGGACATAGATGTGCTCAATTATAAGTAGGGCAGCAGCTGAAACTTGACATCCAAAAGTATTACAGTCTGTTCATTTTGGGAGGTCACTGGTTCTGGTCTTTGATACTGGGCATCTCTACCTCCATATTCTGTGATAACATTTAGAGCATTCAGAATTGTGCTCTCTGTTCTGAATTGCATGTTACTGATGGCTTTGTAAGAGTAGATATGTATTCCCAAAGAGAGAACAAAATATTGTGTTTATGCAACCACTTCTGTGGTGAGAACATTTTCACAGGTTCTGATGAGTTCTTAATCATTCAGGAATGATTTGTTACTAGACTTAGGAAAATACACATTCCACTTGTGTGTTTTATTACTAAGAACAACTGCCTGTGCTCTGTGGCATGGTACAGTTCTGGGTGAAATGACCAAAACTTTAACAAACATGGAGTATAGGAATTAAATCTTGATGAAATAACTAAAGGATATGGGAGATGGGTGAGGTGATAACAAGGGAATGTGATGGTGCTGGGTTTCATGATTAGGAAGTAGGGGTGGCTCTGCTGACGCTTCTTTAACCCATACTTCTAATTCTAATTTGCTGTGGATGGGAAACCATGAACTGTGTTCTAGGACAATTTCTAAAAGCTTAACGAGCATCATGACCTTAAGAACAGGGCATGATATTTTAATATATATATATATTAAAGGGAGGATGTGTATTTTAGGTCCCTTCCAGTTATGTGATGTTAACACAAGAGGATTCCAGAGGCCAACAGGAAACCCTCAGCCTTCTGCCTCCTGCTCTACACCTGCTCCTGAGCATTAGCCTGTGCTCCTTGGATCCCCATAGCCCCCTACTGGGTGTTTACACTGACCTTAATATAATGGTATGGTAAGAAAATGACCTGATGGAACGTTGCACACCACAGAAGAAACAGCGCAGTGACCATGGTAGAATTCCTTATACAGCAGTTTTGTGTGTCTTTTTCGTTTAATGCGTCTATAGGAATATGTTTAGTTCTGTCCTGCTTTGTTCTGTTTCTCCATCTAATATATAAAGAGTAGAAATACATGCTCCTCTTCACACCAGGCACCAAACTCCTGAGTGTGCCTTAATGTTTATTCTTTTAATCTGAATTTACCTGAGTCAGAATTACTCTGAGCCCACTTATTTTGCCAACCCTTCTGGATTTTTCCCTCCTCTGATATATCTGAGACTTTGCTACCTTTAAATATAGGAATTCTATAATATTTGCAATGCTAAGATGGGGGTTTAGCCATGTACACAAATCTCTTCTGAGACACCCAAGAAGATTGTGATGAGGAGAAGAAATGAAACCTTTCTGCATTTGTTGTAACTCAGAGCATTTGGGTAAAAGTGGCTCCAAGAACTTGGGCCTCCCAGAAGGGACACAGAACTTATGCTGAAATGCCACATGTGCCATGATGGTACAAGGCCAGCTGAACCAGGCAATGAGAATCCTACTGAAAGCTGCAGAGTTGTGTTGGCAGTCATTTTCAGGAGACCCTGATAGGATGGAAGAAGACCATGGGCAGCAATGGCCATCATTCATGGTCAGATGCCCTACATTCTGT